TGAATGAATTTGATGGCATGTAAACTGTACTATAGTAAAATAGTAAGAAAAATGGAGGAGGTGACAGAGGTATTACAAGAGGGTTTAGATACAAGATGATGCCCTTTATAAATTGTCCGAGTACTAACCAAGTCATTGGATTGTAGAACCTTCATTTTTAATGTTTTATTCTTTTATGTTACGATGTTCTACAATTTTTTGTGTAGTTATCTTTGTAAACATGTCATTTTTGGCAATACTTTCCATTTTGGCACGTTGCTGGAATTTTTATACTACAGATAAACTATTTAATGTAAAAACTAAAACACAACTTAGATTAATATAAGAAAGAATGGGTACGTGGATGTTAGTGGTTCTAGTTATTACAACAAGCTTTTCCCCCAATCCATGCAGCATTTTTAAATGATTTAAATGTTATGCCCTAAAGCAAGTTTTGCCCTGCTGTCATTTCTTTGCTTGTTTTTAATTTTTAAAATTCTAGCTTATAGAAATAGTTATTACACATAAGATAAAATACCAACAGTTGAGACTCTTGACAGGAGGGGGAAAAGGTAAGAATATAAAGTAGTTAATGTGCTACAGAGAAAACAAGTAGTGACTGTATAGCATCTTACTACGCTGATGGACAGTGACTGCAATGGGGTGGGGGGGGGCCTTGGTAATATGGGTGAATGTAGTAACCACAATGTTGTCCATGTGAAACCTTTTATATCAATGGTACTTTAATAAAAAAATAGTTAATATGCTAGATTACTATTAAGTTTAAAAGTAAGAGTCACTAATGTTAGGGCTTAGTTACTAGCTAAATATGTATTCTTATTAATTTTAATCATCAGAAACTGGGAAAATTTTATTTTTTGTTTGAGTAATCATCCACTTTGGTTTTCAGGCAATCTGAGTATGGTGGTGTAGTGTTTGGTGGCTGGGCACGGATGGCCCAGCCCATTGTGGCTTTCACTGTAGTTGAGGTTGCCAAACCCAACATAGGTGAAAACTGGCCCACCCGAGTTCGTGCAGATGTTACCATCAATCTGAATGTCAGAGATCACATCAAAGATGAATGGGAAGGTAATTTTGTATTTCAAAAATTAGTTATCTTTTGCCTTTTTAGTTCAGAGATTTCACTTTTACTAACTGTTACTCTTCTAAACTTTCATTAAATTTTATCTTTAAAATTTGATTTGAAGAATGGCAATTGTCTTTAATTATTAGTAGTAAAAATATCAGTGATCATACAAGAATAATGAAATACCTTAATAGTTTAATAAAGCATAAATTAGCATGCATATCAGAGTGTTTTGAAAATTGCAGTTGGCAAAGCTGAGAGGAAAGAAAGCATTTCAAATCTTAAGCATGGTAAGATTATATTTATGAATTTGTAGTATCAATATAAAAAATAAAGATAGGCTAATGTTCACTAAGGAAAAGGAGAAAACCCACGTAGAACTTGCACACATGCAGAAGTAGTAGGGAAAATTGGCACTGTTTTTTAAAAAGCAGCCAAAGTGAAGAGAATAGGTATGAAGAGAATAGGAAAATAAAGATACAAAATCAAAAGTAGGCACACTCAAAAGGAGTTTTAGGGGAATCTAGAAAAACAACTCAGAAAGATACAATAATTGTTTATTTGTACCAAAGGGAGGAAGTTGAATAAATAATTAGTGAAATCAAGTGTACTCAAAGATAAATAATAATTGTAGAGAAACTAAATGAGTTATTTTCCCTATCCTTTAGGCAATATTTTAGGGCTGGAAGTTTTTTGTCACAATGATTTTTATTTAGAGGCAGGTAAATTCAGCATTACGAAGTCAAATAAGAGTCAGAACATCAATATAACGCCTGTGCCTGAAATGGCACATGAACTGATTTTCAATTGACACACATTTTTCTCCCAGCTGTCTGAGAGCTCTTGCTTCTCTGATGTGAGAAACAGTAGCTGGTAGATTTTATCTCCTTCCACCTTCTTGGCATGCCAGAAGGAAAGGGATAGTCCCTCAATGGATCAGTTTTCAGAAATGATTGCTCCTGATATAGCTGTGTATAACCACAGAGACTGCATGATCTGTTTATCCGTAATTCTGAAGGAATGCAACAATGAAACTGGCCAAGTGTTTATTAACAAATGGTCACTGTAGTGGGTTTAGTCTGTGACTGATTGTTTTTGTGACTCCTGTATCCTTTAAAAGAGTTCCAATCTAATCTGGTGCGCTGCACATCTAGAATCGTGTGCCTTTATTATTGCTGAACTTGAGAAAGACATTAAGTTGCTGTAGGAGGTCTTATGCTTATTACCCCTTGAAGTTTAAGGAGGTACTAAACACTGTTTTACACAGTGGATAATAAACTGACAAAATTTATTGGCTGTCCCTAGAAATAGTACTACTTGGAAATAAAACTAAAAAAACAGACCCTTTCTAGGAATTTGGTAGGTGACAGATGACAAGTCTGCATTGTAGTGGTAAGGAAAAAAAAAGACATTTTACTCAAACCCTTTTCCTCCATTTCTTTGCAGACTGCTACCAGGACACTAAAGTCATTTTTGTTTGTTTTGTTTTGTTTTGTTTTTAATGGAAGCCTCTGGTAGAATGAGAAATGGAATGGGTAAATTTTGATGGGCAAGATAGGGAACAATAGGGTATTGTGAGACCAGTTGTTCATATTATGGAGCATGGCAGGAAGAACATCTTTTCTGGGAGGCTAGAGCCGAAATTCAGACCCTATATATATGATCACAGATGGAGTAACCAAATAGAAAAATGGAAGCAGAAAATAAGAGGGAGGATCTGTAAATAGTAATAAATGTTGTTCTGTAAAAACTGAATAGTAATGAAGAGTTTGAGCTAAAACTATAAGACATTCTTCTTGCCGCTTCCTGAAGGTGTGAACTCAGGCCCTTATCTTCTCTATTACCCTTAAGAAACAGTATTAATGACACTGAAAAGCTGATTCTGCTGTGGAAGGCACAGCCAGAATGGAATAGATGCAGATGGTTAAAAGAAGAGTAAGGTAATTGTAATGTAAGTTTTTTAAATGTAGATCTAATGTGTGCCACAGTAAAACTGTCTGCTTTAGCAGAGAACAGGCAGTCATCCCTTAGTGATGCCAAACAGTGATATTTATAGGGACTAAATTACTTATCAGGACTACTTCTCTGGCTTTAAGACTTAGAAGTTTTAATGAATTGTGCAGATCAGAAGTCATAGAGGCAGTGCAACTCTGATAGTGGAGCGTCTCCCTTTAGTTTTTCATTTCTTCTCCTGCTTCTTTGCATAGAATTTGTTGGGAAAGAAAAAATAAATCATTATTATGAATCAGAGCTATGACTTCTAGCACACTCCAATCCATATTAAAACCAGAATGGTGCCCGATAGTAGTAGCCACACACTCAAAAACATTGCTGATTTGATTTAGTGGTGTGTTTTGTTACCACAGTTATGAGCAAGCAGACTGTTTAAATTTGCATTTATATTATATAATGGCTAGCAAAAACCAATCAGAAAATTAACTGGTGTGATACTACATGCTATGTGGTCTAATTTTGTGTGCCTTGTCTTCCAGTGTCTACTTTTAATAGAGCTGAGAATCCAGTTGAGTTTATCATTTGGTCTAATGATTGAGAAGCTATGGACTTTGATACAAGTCTCCTATTTATTGATATTCACTTAAAAATTTTTCTGAAACTATGTATTACCCCATCTTCTCAAGATGATATCTATAAACAATGCTTTTGTGCCTTGATGAATTATTCTTGAGTTGACCTCTTTTAGTGAAGTATATACCTGGACTGTTAGAATGACACTGATGGATAGTTTAAACTAGTGTTAGAAACCTGCAAGGTATGATATGGATGGATTGTATGCCAGCTGTATTTTTGGCTACTTATTAAGAATGTTAAAAATAAGAATGACGAACTTCAGTTTTGGAGCTGTAGCATATTTAGAGGGCTTATCAGTAATATATTCATCGGCATAAAAGTTTCTAGTTGTAGAATAAAGAGAAATTTTCATTTAAGTATTGCCATCAAACATTGAGTATTAAAAATTATAGGAAAACCCATCATTGTATTATAATGCAAATATAATCATTGATCATCTCTGATATTTTTTTAATGTTTTTATATCTCTATTCCAAAAATAAAAGGATAAGACTTTCCCAACAAAGACTGAAAACAGTGATACTCTAGTAAGTAAAAATGTCTTTATCTTTTATCAGGACTTCGAAAGCATGATGTATGCTTTTTAATTACCGTACGTCCTACAAAACCTTATGGTACCAAGTTTGACAGGAGGAGACCTTTTATTGAGCAGATTGGCCTGGTTTATGTCAGAGGCTGTGAAATCCAGGGCATGCTTGATGATAAAGGGCGTGTCATTGAAGATGGTATGGTGATCTATATTTTTGGAAGAATGTGTGTACATAATGATAAATTTATGTGCCTTATTTCTTTTTTGCTTTTTAGGTAATATTTTTCAGTTGTTTCTATACTCAGCACAAGAATTATATATAAAATATGTGTAGGCTACCTATCTGCCAGTTTCCAAAATAATGTTTTCTAAACTTCTGTATTAGATACTGGAAAAGGACAGGATCCTACAGGCAGCTCGATTTCAGCTCTTTGATTTGTTAGCCTTATCACTGATTGTTCTTTGAAGTACTTTCTTACGTTGTCCTCTTTTTTTTAAATACCTACTATTACGACTGCATCCGTGTCCAGTGCTTATTTTACAGTTTTGTTTACTAAACTTCTATCAAGTTTTGAATCTTATTCTGCTACTGTGATTTCAAGATTGCAGCATTGCCAAAGTGCTGGTAATGGCTACTCTTACCATTAGGATAGAAGAAAATTGGAGAAGGGAATGGAGGATAGGTAGAAAAAACATAAGGCCACATAGTGGGACCAGAGTTGGAAGTCTAAGACAGAAAGAGAGAGAGCAAAGGGGCAAGAGAGAGCCTCTTAGCTCTCAGCCGTTAGTAAGTGAAATTCCCTTGTATCCTAGTGCTACTAGGAATGAAGTGTGGAAGGATGAAGAGTCATCCCCTGAGTGCTTATGTTATGTGAAGCAGTAATAGGAGCTATGAGTGACTGACAAAAGTAAAGTTCTTTGAATTCCAAGGCTTCTATTTTAATTGGGGACATATAAAAGTAATTCCAATTCATGGCATTGTATCGTAAATATTATGTGACTATTCTGAGAAGAAATAGTAAGAATTCAGAGAAAGAAGAAAATATTTTCAAATTCTTAGATTTTGAAATGATGGATGGAAGGTATTCTATTATTAAGGAGTTAAGTCTGGACAGTTTACTCATCATTAGGAATACTGCTCATTTACTTTGATATTTGAAAAGTATATACTTCATTTAACAACTTCTGTTTCAAAATGTCTAGGACCTGAACCCAGACCCAATCTTAGAGGAGAGTCAAGGACATTCAGAGTATTTTTGGATCCAAACCAGTATCAACAAGATATGACCAATACTATACAAAATGGAGGAGAAGATGTTTATGAAACTTTCAATATAATAATGAGGAGAAAACCAAAGGAAAATAACTTTAAGGTAATTGTTAGGCCATATAATTTAAAGTACTATATCATAATTTGAATAAGTTCTAAGACAAATACACAGATACCAGGAAAACAATGATCACTCTTCTTATTTTGATTCTAAACAATCCTCTTAGATTCTTAACATACAGATTAAATATAAAAACTTAAGAAAATTCATTTGTTAAATTTATTTTGTCCTTTGATTAGTTTAGAAATTTAAAATATAAATTAATTCAGGTGTTATTTTAAAGGTCAGACTCCTTCCTTTTTTGTATATTAGTTGGTCGATTTATGCCCCAGTATGAGGTTGTTTTACTGGGACTTCTTTTTTAAATTGATAGTAGGTATACTTCCAAATCACTTTTAAAATATAGCTGTGGAACCTCAGGGCTCTGAATTACTTTAGGATATAAGGTATAATATAATTTCCTTATTTGTGGGAAAAGGGAGGTGTAGGGGCTAGAGCATTTCGTAATAAATAACT